TGGAGAGAGGGGGATACAACTCATTGAGTTCTTACGTGCTCTAGCACCTACAGTGGACCCCCACTCTTTTTTCTCGGGCCAACCCTTGGAGTTCTGGCTGGCACTAGATAGGGAGGTCCAGAGACCAGTGGATAGTTTGGAGGGGGTCGGACGACTCTTTAGCGAGACTCCCGGTGATAGGCCTGCTTCCCTCATCTCTATCTGGGAGTTGGAGGAGCATTACCAGGGGATATATCCAGATAGAGAGGAGTTCGGCTGGAACGCGGACGATCAAGATTGAGAACGCTTCAGCGACGCAGAGCCTTGGGGACAGGACGTGAGACCGTGGGGAGACGTGCCTGACGCAGGGCAGGGCGAGATTGGCGCCGATATAGACGGACCGCAAGAGGACGGCTGAGGACATCTCCTTCAGGCCGAGGGACAGGAGGATATCCCATGGGGTCAGGGGGTAGATGAGGATGGAGATGAGGATATGCCAGATGCGCGAGACGATTAGCGGCAGGGCATATCCGGGCATAGCTTAGAGAAGGGAGTAGGAGATCGGTTAGTAGGCACGGGGAGAAAATTTTAGGCAAGACGAGAGTGGCAGTAAGAGCAGGAAGGGATGGCAGAGAGGGATACACTGAGAGTGACTCTTTCCTTACGACGAGATAGGACGGGCGGCTGGGAAGAAGAGGCGTTGGACAATGTTGCTCGATAGATCAGACTCATGACAGAGCATGCCCTGGAGATACGGAGAGGCCAGAGATACGCCGAGTTTACTATCTACTTCCATGGAGCTGACGGGAGAGTGCACAACACCTACTCGACCATACTGAGCCTGAGTGGAAGAGTTGTCTGAGGAGTTAGCAACATCGAGAGATCGTGTGCGTCAAAGGGATTGGAGTGATACAGATCGAGTGGCAAGGGGTAATGAGGAGTGATTCGAGTGCATGGTGGGCGCATGTCTTATTGGAAGACCGCGCTCGGGATCGACATACCCCTTCCGGCGCGGTAGGAGGATAGCATCCATTGGCCTCGTCTGGGGACGGAGTTCAGAGAGAGACGGAGGGATTCCTGTTCCGCCAGTCACGGACTTGAACTGGGAGCGAAGGGACGATTGGGCGACTTGAGTTGAGGAGTTAGCTTGAGTGATGAGGAGTGATGAGGCAGCTTGGCTGGCCTATGTTCTCTCATGAGAGGACGAATCCTATCGCGCGAGGAAACTTGTAAGACCTAGAGAGACGGTTGTTGGATATGATATTCCTCTTCCTGTGAGGTTAGAGGAGACTGACTTTGTTCCGATACGTTACTTTGGAACGCGGCTGGTAGAGGGACTTTTCCTTTGGACGGTGATACTGAAAGATAGACGACCTGAAAGGACTCATGACCTAGAAGGGGTGGGACATCTGATAACGGACAGAGCTCATGATTTAGACATAGGGCTGACGCTGGCAGGGGCTAGCAGGGCTTGGTGGAGAAACGAGTTGATGGCCAGAGTGATCGTTAATCAGCAACTGGCAAGACTCTCGAGAGGAATATCGTACAGGAGTCGCTTGGTATACGGACCTCCGCATCCGACCTTCTACCCGGAAGAGGGTAGGCGATTTGGACTTCCTGCGTTCATAATAGGGCAGACCTACGGGAGCATAGACCGTTTGAGCGTGGCAGTGGACCACACACTTTACGCGCTTTGGGAGGGCTTAGCTCCCCGTTTCAAGGAAGCGTACTACGCCATTTGTGTAAGGTGGGGGCCACCTAGCAGAGAGACGCTTGACGACATCATAGACGCTACTTGCTGGGTGGACTGTCTGAGGCCAGTCGATCTGATTTGGTACTGCAGGAGGCGAGTTGAGATTGATTATGTGGGGCTGGAGGATGTGAGGTTTCTCTTTGAGGCCGCAGCTTAGGGAATGTCGGGGAGGACGGCAACTGTGATGCGATTAGATAAGCAACTGGTAAGCACATGATACACTGTGATGGTACTTCTCCGAGTATACATAGATGAGGACTTGACGCTGAGGGAGTGCCGACTACGAGCCAGGGATTTGGTCCCCGAGCATAGGGCTGATGTGCTGGTGCAAGTGACCTTCCAGACCTCGATTTCCTATGATGTGATGGTATGGTCTCATGGTTTTATGCGTGCAGAGCACTACCACGATGAGACGGTAGCAGAGGCTAGAGCAAGGGTATGAGGATGAGCTGGAAAGGGATGTGGGCAGAGTATGGAAGAGGAAAGTGAGGCGGTCGGAAGAGTAAGGAAGCGCATTAAAGAACCACTCTTGAACCAGGTAAAGGAGTTGGGAAACAAGATAAGGGAGAACGATTCATGCCAGGAAAAGGGCAAGCTGCGGAGGGTCGAGCTCGCGACGAGAGAGTTAGAGAGTTTGTTCAGGGAGGATAGAGAGATTATCCAGGCGTGGAGATTAGACTTTTTGGAGAGGGTAAAGGCTAGGAACCTATCGTGCGAAGGAGCTAGGGAGAAGTCTGCAGAGGACGGGACAACGAAGGACAAGGTAACGCAGGGAGATAGCAACAGGACATGAGCGGGACGACCCTACACACGACGGACATGTACTCATTGCATGTGGTTGGGAGACTGGACGGACGGTTGGTATTAGTGATCGCAGAGCGCCAGCTCCATACCAGGTTGTGCATAGTTGAGGAGGCAGAGTATGTTCGCCGTGCATTGCATGAGGCTAGGGGAACAAGACTTTGGATTGGAGTGGAAGGAGGACGAAGGATAAAGTACGTACTACGCACGACACCATTCGATGGGAGGCCTCTGATAAGGGCGTGGTACGAGACGCCCAGAGAGACTGAGAGGTTAAAGATAAGTAAAGCCAGGAAAGCTGGGGAGCTAGGGAGAGTTGTAGTAGACGGAGTGATACTCAGGGTGTTAGCCGCTCACAACCGATATTGGAGGGAGAGGTCATAGAGGATAGTGGAGACGAGGGGGGTTTTGAGACGTTCTTTGAGATATTGGAGTTGTCGGCGATGAGATTACGAGCGGCTATAACACTGACTTTCCTCAGATGCTAGACTAATGGTCTTGAAGCTGTCTGGGAGTTAGAGGAGGAGAGACAGAGATTGTAAGCTCTTGGAAAGATAGTGGAGGACAGTGAGGTCAGATGGGCGGCTTTAGATGGCAGTAGGAGGAGAGTTTCCTCCGTTTGCGGGCTATCCGATTCAGGACGGACTAGATGATCTAGTGAGGAGGACGGAGATAGATGCTCGAGGACTCTTGAGGGGTGCCAGTCAGGAGATATTGGTTAGGCTTGGGACTGCGATTTGCAGCAGGAGTAGAGATCCTGTCACGGGTGTAGTGCAGATTAGGAGAGGCGCGGCCTTCTTGGAAGATCCCGAGGGAGAGGTTTACATAGACACCGGGATTCTTGGGATAGGAGAGCACTAGGTCCGCGACCGGAACGGAGTACTAGTGGCGGTAATCAGAGCAGTCGAGAGCTAGGACTGAAGACGAGCGCGAACCGTGACAAGGAAACAGGTCCGGGCTGCGAGTTCTGTCACAGGTCCGGGCTGCTGCGACTGCCATAGGTTTGGGATGCGAGTTCTGTCACAGGTCCGTGCTGCTGCAACTGTCATAGGTCCGGGCTTTACCCAACTACAGCTTCTGGTAGCCTATGGAACCAGACACGATGGGGCCACAACCGACCACGGCCGAAACAGGAGAGGAGTACAGGACATCGCCCGACCAAGCACTGAGGGATCTGAAGGAACGGATTAGGCAGGGAGCACCGCTGAGATGGGTTGACCAAACCAATGACGGAGAACCCGACGTAATGGGCGAGCCGGTCGTGACAGAGCCGGAGGAGATTTTGAAGACATGGACCTCGAGCGCTTGACGAGAAGCGACGACACGACGCTCCCCCGAGTATGAACGGATGGAAACCAGGGCGGATAGGCACGGGGACGACTGGAGAGAGAGTTCACGAGATTCCTATTGGAGGGACAGAGACAGGGATAGAGCACCGCCCCGGCGTGTCTTCGACCCCCAGACGGGGGAGTCCCATCCGCTCCCTTACGAGAGCAAGGATCGCTATATTATTACGCACAAGGCCTCGGAGCCTCCTACTTTCAGGGGCTATGGTATCACAGAATATCTGGAGAAGTGGGAGCTTCATGCTAGCCGGAATCAGTGGTCGGAGGAAGAGATTATAGAAAACTTCCTATTCAATGTAGATCCAAGTCTCGGCAAGGAAGTTAAGGAAGCCCGACCGAAGGATGGGAAATGGACTACGTATAAGAAAAACCTTATTGAGCTTTACAAATTAGAGGATAACAAGTACTCCATCAAGGACCTTGAGACTATGACTCAAGATGAAGATGAGAGCGTACGGGCGTTTGGGAAGCGTTTCCAGAAGATCTCCGACGTCCTGATGAAGAAGGGGAAAATCTCATAGGTCGAGCGCTGTACTATCTTCATTGGACACCTGTCACAAGGCAGACAAAAGAGTATACTTAGAGATCTCCCGCGCGACAAGCTTGACTTCCCTGAAGTCCTAAAGCTCGTGATAAAGGCAGAGGCAGACGACTACAAGGACTTGGTATGGAGAGGAATGAAGAGGCGTGATTTATCTCTCTATAAGGAGTATGCAACTGATAGATGTCCTGATTTCAAGGATTATCCCTGGTCGGAAAAAAATGGAGCCGTGGCTGAGGAAGTGAAGGAGATAAGGGACATGGTAAAGGGATTGACAAGACAGGTTACAGAGATTGTGACCACCACAGGAGCCACGACTTACCGGGACAAACCCGGAGGGCCCTATTCACTTCGCTGGAACCATAGGAACACCGATTTCTGGAGGAGTGTCGAGGATAGAAATCCTTGAACGCTGACTGATTATCGTGCGAGGGAAAGGGAGAGAGACGATGAGCCATGGCGATGTAGGGATGATGATATAGACCGGGACCGCAGGGCTCACGAGACGTATGGGCGAGCTAGGAGACTGGATGATTACTCGCGTAGCCCTCGTTATGAGGCTGATAGGGGTAGAGGCGACTCTCGAGGCCGGTGGGAGTCAGATCAGGGCCGGCGAGACGCATACAGGGATGACAAATATGAGAGATTAGACCGAGATGGATATAGGGACGACAGATATGAGAGGTCGGATCGAGATGGATACAGGGGTGGCAGGTATGAGAGAGGAGATCGAGACGGAGATCGACGAGATGATTCGCGCGGACGGTATGACCGCGAGGGCGCAACGTGACGATTCGCGGGGGTGGTACGACCGAGGAGATCGACGCGATGAGTCACCCGGGCAATACGACCATGGGGACCGCCAGAATGACTCACGGGGATGATATGAGCAAGGAGGACCCGGAGGAGACCGCCACAATGATTCGCGCGACCGGAATGAGAGAGGGGGATATGGCACGTCATCCGATCCGTATACAAAGTCCCCTGACCCCAAAGCAGCGAGGGGTTCGACCTCCAGGAGCGTAGACGACAGGCCACCCACTCCCAGGAACTCTTGCGTCTACTGTAGAGGGGATGATCATATCAAGAGAGACTGCCCGAATCTCAAACGGGCAATAGATGAGGGACTTGTCATGCTTGATGACCGCAAGTACGTCAAGTGGGCAGATGATCTGGGAGACGTATCGATGTTCCCTTCGATTAAGGAGAATGTTGAAGCAAGGAGAGTAAAGCCGAGTAAAGGAAAGGAGTCGGTTAGGAGCCAGAGCATCAAGATAACTTTCGAAGGAGATATGGCAACCACACCCATAAGGGTGGCAGCTACCAAGTCGGCGAGGGGGACTACATCAAGGAAGACCGATACGGATTACGTGATGGCAGAGAAGGATGGACAACGGATTGATGGAGAGGAGGTTATTCTTTCACCGCGAAAGCGGGGAGTGAAGAAGTTCTTGATGAAGAGTTCGGTGGATGAGATTGACACGGTCGAACCACTAAGACGGGCCCTTCAGCAGCCCATGCAGTGCTCTATTCTGAAATACCTGGCAACATCCAAGCCGGCTCGCGACGAGTTACAGATGATCACGCGGAAGACTCGCATACCTCTATCAGAGCACGCTCAGACGGCCCCTAAGGCGGATGCTCCTACTGTAGCAGTATCGGAGGTGACTGCTAGAGCAGATCGCATGGTGACAGTTCTCCTTGATGGGATGGAAGGTGTGCCTCCAGACAAGTTTTACATACTTGGTAGTGGGATCGTGGAGGCGATCCTAAACGACGGAGTGGTTCTAGATGCTGTGATCGATAACGGCAGTGAGGCTGTCATTATAGACGAGGATCTGGCAGAGCGAGTTGGACTGGGACTCGATAGGTCATACCTATTCGAGATAGAGATGGCTAATGGGAGGAAGCAACAGATCACAGGGGTTTGTCACAAGGCAGTCATAGAGGCCCAAGGGGTACGAGTGACCCTGTCAGTCTTTGCAGTCAAGAACTGCAGCTCTGACCTGCTCTTGGGACGAAAGTGGTTGAGCCATGTGCATGCGGTGACGATAGAGCGATCGGACGGGAGCCAGACACTGTCCATCAAGAAGCTAGATGGGGCGCGGATTATGATTGAGACGGTGGAGCCTCGAGACCCGAGAAACAGAGCAGCTCTCGCTGTGGGTGCAGGACCCAGTGATCGGATTAAGTCATTACCTATCTCCGGCCGCGCGGTGTGATTTCGCGAGAAGAAGTATGGACCTCTGCTCACAGAAGAAGAAGGCAGGATTGTAGAAGTGGAGGATTTAAAGAGTCAGCTGATAGTGGACGGCAACTCGTATCCAAAGGAGGCAGATGAGGAATTTGGCGGCGTAGTATCTGTGTCTTTTTTAAGGGCACGGCCCCCTATGGGGGGCTACCCAAGCGACACAAACGAGTAGCTCAGAAAGTTAAGCCAGCGGCGGTGGGCCGCGAGCGATCTGCACTGGAAGGATTATCGGAAGAAGAGATCGCAAAGAAAATTAAAGAAAGAAAGAAAAAGGAGCCGCAACGCCTAACGGAAGAGAGGATAGCAGGGATGGACATTGGGGATGGAAATCTGACCCCACAGGAGCGGGAACGTGTGATAGAAATTCTGAAGACATGCGATAAGGCTATAGCTTTCAGCGACGCGGGGCGCGGTAGGGTTGACCCTCGATACGCTAAGCCAGCAAGGATTTACACGATTCCACATGTTCCATGGAATGACGCAGGATGGAAATACGCCCAGAAGGAGAAGGAAGAGGTTATCGCTTTCCTGAAAGAGAAGATGGTTTCTCATGTTGCAGAGTCGTCTTACATCGTTTATGCTAATCGATGGTTCTTCCTACAAAAGCCGAATGGCATGATCCGGTGGATCCAGGACCTTCAGAAGGTCAACGCGGTGACGATACGAGACGTAGGCTCTGTGCCTCACGCTGACTTACTGGCTGAAGGCGCTGCGGGCAGGTCGATTTATTCGGTCTGTGATCTTTTCTCAGGCTTTGGTACCGCTTGATCCCAGGGTCAGGCACCTCACGGCTATGCACACGCCATTGGGACTGATACAGAGGATGGTTGTCCCTATGGGTTGGACTAATGGGGTAGCCGTTTTTCAGAGAGCCATGGTAGCCGTCCTCAAGGACTTTATTCCTGACAAGGTTGAAGTTTTTTTGGATGACTTTCCTATTAAAGGACCAGTAGAGAAAGATGAGACAGAGGTTGTACCAGGAGTTATGAAATTTATCGAGCAGCACCTAACCGATATTTGCGCGATACTTGAGCAGCTGAACGATGCAAATTTGACGGTCAGCGGAACAAAGAGTCGGTGAACCGTCTCGACTATTAAGATCTTAGGCTTTATCTGCGACTCAAAAGGACGCCGAGCGGATCCTGCAAAGCTACACAAACTCCTAAATTGGCCGTCGCCGTTGCGTAGTGCTACTGAGGTCCGTCAGTTTCTGGGAGTGGTCGGTTATTTGCAGATTTTCATACGCAGGTATGCGAAGAAGGCTGAGCCATTGAGGGTACTCCTTCGGTAGACTGAGAAATTCTATTGGGATTCTTCTCACGAACTCGCTATGCAAGAGCTTAAAGATGAATTTAAGAAGGGAGGGCGCGTACTGGGCGTGCCATTCTTTGATGATGAGGCCGGAAGACCCTTCATAGTATCCACGGATGCTGGACCTTGTTCAGTCGGTGGGCTGCTGTCGCAGAAGAACGCTGAAGGGAAGGAAAGACCGTTAAGATTTGAGAGTAGGACACTTAATACGGCCGAGCGTAACTACAGTCAATTCAAGAAGGAAGTGTTAGCTGTTCTGCGGTGTCTGGACACGTTCAGACACTACATCTACGGACGGCGGTTCATCCTAAGATTGGATCCCACAGCGGTTGCCTCTGTCCTCCAGAAGGAATTCAGTCTGACGGATCCGACCATCGCACGATGGTTAATACGGATTAGATTCTATGACTACACGTTTCAGAGAATATCGGGTACTAAAAATGCTGTGGCGGATGGGCTTTCTCAGATCCCTCTTGAGACCGAGCGCCCGATAGTAGCTGGGGCACTGAGAATGGCGGAGCCTAGACGCGCCGATCGATTTCTGGTTAACCTTTACGAGGGCAAATACAGAACGATCGGGCTATATCTGTCAGGAGAGGAGAGTCAAGATTCAGATATCCGGAGACAAGTGGCCCAGTACTGCCTTAGAGCGGGCCATCTATTCCGAAGACCTGTCGGGTCGAGGATGCCCTTACGAGTAGTCTGTGATCCTGAAGAGAGACAGACGATAGTTGTGGAGCTTCATGACGGGGTAGTCGGAGGACATAGAGGAGTCAAAGGGACCAACGAAAAGGTACGCAAGTTGTACTGGTGGGAAGGACAGTACAAGGACGTCGAGAGATACTGTATAACCTGCGAGGAGTGCCAGCAGAGAGCTCTTGTGAAATACAAAGAGTCACTTCATCCATCCTATCCAACCAGGCCACGAGAGAAGGTACACATCGATCTGGTGAAGATGACGAAAGGAGTAGGCAATATGAACTATGTTGTGAACATACGAGATGACTTCACTGGATTCGTGGATGGTAGACCTATCAGGAGTAAGACGGCTACGGAAGTGAAGAACTTTGTCCAATAGTACTTATCTAGGTATGGTTGTGTCAACAAGATAGTGATGGATAGAGGGGCAAAATTTCTAGCTGACGAGGTTCAGAGTGTGTTCAAGAGAGCCTGGGCGAGGGTTTCGATAGCCACTGCCTACCACCCACAGTCGAACTCTCCAGTGGAGAGGGGACACCAGACTCTGATAGCGTCACTATCCAAGTGGTGGAAAGGAAAGGACAGCGATTGACCACGATATTTTCGATACGCAATATGGGCGGACAACGTCACGGTCCGGGCTAGCACTGGATACCCACCATACACCTTGTGGTTCGGACGATATTGTCCTCTCCCCATAGAGTTTCATGTCGACAGTTGGACAACCGTCGACTGGGTGGAAAGGATGACCAGAGAGGAACTCATAGCTGCCCGAACAAGACAGATAGCCTATGGTTTGGAAGACAACCTTATGACAGCGGCAGATCGTCTGGCAGTAGAGAGGGACAAAGGTAAACAGAGATGGGATAAGGGCGTGCAAATCAGGAAAGAGAGGGTGAGCGTAGGAGATATGGTCCTTCTCTACGACGCAGCACTGGAAAGGACCTGGACCGGAAAACTCGCCAACAGATGGATGAGACCTTACAGAGTGGTTGAGGCGCTCGACTGGTGTGCCTATATGATAGCAGAATTAGACGGATCCAAGTGGAAGGACCTAGTGGCAGGTGCTAGGTTAAAGTTGTTTAGACCCAGGCCTGCACCCACTTTATCGCTGACAGGCCCGAAAGGGAAAGGGAAGTCCAAAATGGAGGATAGAGCCCCCTCGAGACGATTAGAGGCAGGGGAAAGTTCCAAGAAGAGGAAAAGAGTGGAGAGAAGAAAGGTCAAAGGGCTGGCATTAGGAAGAGAGAAGAAATGGTTATTCGTGCTCAAGAGGGCCAGACGGAGAGTTCGCATTAGACAAACTGGTGGGTCGGCACCTTTCTCGGGCCAACGTCAGAAGAAAAAGAGAATCTTACCAAGGTCAAAATCCCAAAGGAAAAGGGGAGTCAAAAAGCATCTTCTTAGCCCCAGAACTCATAAAAAACTGAAACATAAGACAATTAAACCCCAGAACTCATAACAAACCGAAGAAAAATATAAGACATACTAAAGGGGAGCGTCCGTTACGGGCAATCACCCTGAAGCTCGTCTGCTTTGTTTGACGAAAGTGGATAGGGCTCGACGAGGGCATCGAGAAGTGGTCCGGGCTAACTGTCAGGCGGCCACAAGCAGTGCGCCGCCTGAAATCTGCGGCTTCGGGACTTAGGCTCAAGGACAAGTCTGTGTTTTAACGGTACTCTGGTTTGACCAGGCAGCAAGGATTAGGGGAACTCAGGGCCCCCCTGATTTTGGGCACGTTGGATCTTACGAGTAACCCTCAGAGATGGCAAAATGGGTAGCCGCTCCCGGCACATCCAGGGGCCATCATTTCCGTCCGTTCCGAGGCTAGACCTTGGATGGCCGGCCGCGGGGAGGCATTGCGTGGGTTGACCCCGCCACAATGCTTTTACAGCATATGATCGGGACCGGAATAGCGCCTCAAATTTTTGCCTGTTTTTGGTACCTAAATTAAAGACGGGAGAAAAGATTGAGAACAGTAGAAGGCAAGAGAAAAATGTAATATTCCTTCATTACCTTGTTTTTCGCGGCATTTAAATTGTGGGGAAAATACCCCGTTATTTTATGTTTCCGACAATAGAATCGAAAACAAAAGAAGGGATTAAAAATAATAAAGGAGAAAAGAAACAAAGAATTTCAACAATTCAATTAAGACTCCCTCCGAATTTTTTTTTTGGAAATTTTATGGTTATTTTACTGTACCGGATAATAGAATTAAGAAAGGGGAAGAATGAATAAAGACGATAAAACGAACGGGAACAAATGATTATTCGATGCTTGGTTATGCTGGGATTATCCACCGTCGGCTTTAAACTCAGATTAATCGATTTTCACTGGATCCTAACCTTTTTCACCAGTTCCCGATGATCGAGGTTTTTCGTGCCACTCTCCCGTTTTACCCGATAACTAACCTCACTGAGTCAGTCCGAGGATGATCGTATGGACGGCATGGGATGGTCCTTCCTTGGACCGACAGGATGGCGTTTGGCTCGGTACGGCTACATGGTTCGGAGAGGTTCGGTATTGTTACGAAGTGGCTGCGACCTGCGGTATCCAGCGTGTTCCTGGCGAGGTATGGGCTCGACGTCAGTTGCTTCAGGCATGAGGCCACTACGGTGACATATTTTCAGGTTTACGGCCATTATGGTGCTTTGACCTCAGATTCGATACCGCTGCGACAGTCTATCTCAGGTTCGGGACTTTTACGGTCGTTCATTTCTGGTTCGGACACATCGGCGTGACTCAATATCAGGTTTGGGGCGGCCCCAACGGGTTATTTCAGGCTTGGGGACACTGTGGTGAATCATTTTCAAGTTTGGGACCACTACGGCGATTTTATACAGCCTCGGTGCGACAACGACAGCTTGTATTAGGTTCGGAACCACTACGGCAGTTCGTGTCAGGTTCGAGACCATCATGCCGATTTGTTTTGAGGTACGACACCCTAACGGTGATATGCTTCAGGTTTGACGGCATCGTGGCAATCTATTTCGGGTTCCGCACCGTCATAGCAAATTATTTCAAGATCGGTTCGAATCGGACTCGGGGCTACTGGCTGGCACTTAATCCTTAGGTCCGGAATGGTTTCGGAAGTACCACGCAACACAGGCATCCGAACAGTGCTCGACCTAATTCGGCCCTGGATTGGACCCGTACAGGCGTGGTGCAGGCTACTCGAGATCGGGACAGGTTCGGA